TTAGACTCACTTTTGGTGCTTTCATTCAAAGAAATCCAGAATCTACAAAAGAAACCAGATTGTTCCTGAATGACAGGAAACCATATTTCATACCAGTTCTTTTTTTATTCCAAGCTTAGGAAAAAGACATCAGACTGATTCCTTCCTCAACAGCCATCCAAACACCTATCCCAGCCAGCCTGCTTCTACAGCTATTTTTGCTAAAGATACAGACAATAATTTTTTTTTTTTTTTACCGACAACCATTTCTTCTGTATACTTAGCATCAGAAGCAAATTGACAATTGATGCTTTTCAGATGCATCCATATATATATATATATATATATATTGGGAAAGTGTACTCAGTATGAGATATACAACATTTATAAACACACACACATATATATTTAAAATTTTCTATATTTATAGGGAAAGTGTACTTGGTATTAGAGATATAGCATTTGTTTGAAATTTTCTATATTGGGAAAATATACGCAGTATGATATATATATATATATATATATATATATATATATATATATATCTTCATCTTTCCTCCAAAACTGTTTATATATATATATATATATATATATATATATATATATATATATAAACAGTTTTGGAGGAAAGACGTATGACAAAGTTGAAAAAGTTTTGTGTGATGCGTTTCAACTCTCACAATTTCATCAGACTAGGTTTGTTGATGCTCTATGCGTATTGGAGACACAGGAATTGTGATCGTCAATTTTGTGACTCAATGAGATCTTCAGAACAAAACTTGGTCTGAAGATTCCGTTGGGGAGTGAAAATGACATTCGCCATACAGCGTTGATTCTTATGACCACCCTATAGAGAAAAAGAGAGGATGTTTTGATATAAGCTTGGAATGAGAAGTCAGAAAGCCAAATTTCGAATTCCACTTCAGTATGTTACATTCAATTAGGTTCGAATACTCTTGGGAAAGGTATAAATACATCACTTCTCACCCACCAGCTATGGCTTAAATAGTGAAGACTGGGCTCGCTAGCTCTGGTTGACAGTCTAGGAGAATGGCAACTCTGAATTCAAAACTGTACATGGCCCTGACACTGCAATAGAGATTCATTTTTGTCAGATCTTTATTAAATTTTAAGTAAAGAACTTCAGCAAAGACAACTCACTGAATGATAGTTGTGCAAGGATCAATGTAATGAATTATGCAACGAGTGTGTTATTGTTTTTGTATTGTGTGTATATATACATATATATACACAAAAGTGTATAAGAACTATATGTAAATTTAAAACATTTGTTCACCCTTGGAAGTGAGGTCTGATGAACCAGGTAAAACCATATAACTGGGGAAATAAATTATAACCAGTGGACCCATAAGGTTGTCTCTTTTCTGTTTAAATTGAATTAACAATTGCTCTGATTTGACATTGAGCTTTCTGGATTACATCCTCCTTGGAATTATTTCTTTGGATTATCAAACTTTTCATTATTTAACTATATATATATATATATATATATAGAGAGAGAGAGAGTTGAGTCATTACTTTTATAGTAAATGATCAGTGTATTATTTCTTCATTTCCTTAAGGAGAAAAATGACATTAGACATTTGATTTAATCATTAAGGCAATAAAGCAACTCACAAGAGAGAACAATAAAAGAACAGGAATTAAGACAGAATATAATGATTGACATTGCATTGAAATTTTTGAAGATCGCAGCTGACTGGAATGCAAAAAGTTCACCGAAAGCAAGAAGAAACCACCAGAACAGAACTTACATTTACATCCAGCAACTTCAACTGTAAAACGTTGACACCCAGCTTCAAATCAAGCACTGCACCCAAAAATCAAGGCATCAAGTAGAAAAGCTCATCAGAAAAAATTTAATTCGGGATTAATAAAAAAAAATGTCTTGAAGCAATATTTTAAAATGCAGTAATTCAGTATAATTTCTATTGTATTCTGTTGATTATAATATGACTTAAGGACATTAATATGAAATAATATTTAGCCCACTGTTTTTTTCTGATAATAGTCAATCTAAAGACAGCTCTGTATTCAGTGGACACTCTATACTTGAAAGGTTTTGCACCAAAACTAAGCTTGGCTAAATCACTTTTATATGACGTTAATTCTTCTATGATTTTTTGTGATTTCTGTATTTTATATCTTTTTTACATTGTGAAACACACACACACATATATATATATATATATATATATATATATATATATATATTCATATAGGAAGAAAATGAGTAACTACTGACACCGAGGTTCAAGTGTGATACTCTGTTTATGAATATGTTTTCTGCCATGTATAGATAATGGTGTCAGGCTACTGACTATAGTGTTTATAGAGTGAATATTCAGTGGAGCTATCTAGTCAAATTAGTTTAAATTATTGTGCATCTATGATTTGGGTTTTGATTTAGAATTTGCCAGATGTTAAGCCGAGCTGTGCTACTAACAAGGTATTCGCAGAAATTGTTAATTGTCTTAGATTGACTCTGATGACTTTGTTCTTGATAATTCTTTATTTGTGGTTGTAATTAAATACTGTTTTATTTAGCTTTGAAGACTTGAGTTATACTTAATTATTAACAGCCACCGTATGTCATGAAATATATATATATATATATATATATATATATATATAACATAATAAAGCTCAGCAAAATAAATCACTTAAACATTTCAAAGGTAAGGATTCTTTCAGCTTGAAACATTGACAGTTTAAAAGTAAACCCCATGTCATGTTGATTTGGGTACCTACCTTAACATGATAGTCCGTATGCTGGTTTCCAAGAACTTGGTAACGAACTTGATCATCTTTGGGTACCTGATTATTGTAACCTTTTATCTAAGAATCAGCTTGAGATTACCATGGACTGAACATATGGGTAACAACAAAGTTTTAAAGAAAATGGAAACAAAAAGAACAGTTATACATAATATCAAAAAGAGTTCAAATTTCTCAAGTATATAATGAGGAAAGAGAGCTTAGAAAATTTGATACTCACAGGGCATATTGAAGGCAAGAGAGACAGTGGAAAACAATGCATAACCTGCCTAGTGAGCTTCAGTAAATAAATAGCAGAACAAGATTTACAAGAAATGACAAAAAGACAAAATTCATTAAGAGCTACAAAGCATAGGAAATTGTGGAGCGCCATGTTTGTTAATATTGTGAAGAGACATTGGACATAATTTTAATTCTCTCACAATTTTGGATAAGACCTTTTTCTTCTGTTTAACATTATAAAACATATGACAATTTAATTTTTTTTATTTTAACCTAATGTTTTCTTTTAATATTAAATAAAATGCAAATTACATCTGGATCTATGCCAAGAAATTTTATCCAACTGTTGATTGTTTTGATTTTTGCATAGAAGGCCTATGAATATGTAAATGTACATAAGGATTATGATGAATGCTGTTAATAAGTCTTATCATTTTAGTCGTATGTTTTGGCAGTTGTGTATATGTAGACATGAATATAATTAAATCAAACAGACTGAACTTTTTACCCAACTCCAAAAACTATAGCTGAATTTTTTCTTTCCAAATTATATTCACATGTGTATAATTGAGGGATTTCTTTTTGTCCCTAAGGGCAAAAGACAGAGTTTTTCATAGCAGAGCAAAATGTTTTTGACACTTCAGATTTCAAACAGTCATAAATTAAAACACTTCTATCTGCACTTAATATGTTTATTTACTAAGCATAACCAAAATTATGGGGCATCTCACTTTTTAGTCATAACTGATCTAGTGCGACAAGCTTGCTAACCATTATACCACTCCAAGGTACTCTGATTTTCTATGCACAGCTTAGATGTGGAACAAGACAGAAAGCATGGAGCACTCAGTGAGGATTGAACTCACTATTCCATCATAATTGTTTTATCAAGACAAGCTTGCTAACCATGACACCATGTTGACATGCCCTATCTGCACTTAATATGATTAGTAAAAGAGTTTGACATGGTGGTATGTAAGTTATTATACCTTGAGACATGGAGAATATATAGCTAAATAAGTCTTTCAGTTATTGATGGGGATAGCAGAATAGAACATCTAAAAATATTTGTTCAATGACAATAAACTATGTCAAGGCACCTTTGAGGGTTGGCAAGAAAAGGGAGCGTGTGTATATATATATATATATATATATATATGCTATAACAATATAATTTTGTATATCAACAAAGAATATTTAGAAAAATGACAAACTAGAAAAGTTTCTTTGACAGGTTTCATCCATTAGAATTTCATCAGACTTGGCTTTGTTGACGTTACCATGTCTACACATGGGCGTGAAACAAACACACACACACATACATATATATATATATATATATATATATATATATATATATATATAATTCAAATTGCTTAAATAAGAAAATGAGAGCATCTATGGATATGTGTATCACAAAATGTTTACATTAACACACATACACACACACACACACACACACACATATATATATATATAGGCAAGAATAGGAGAGCTGGGTACTTTTAATTCAATTTAAATTTCTATAATTAAATTGAAGTTTTTAGCTTCTGTGTTTGAAACATGAGAACTCTTATGTAGTGATGGAATCATATTTTAAAAAAAAATGAATATTATGTGTGGGGTACAGTTGAGCAAGAGATCAATAAAACACCTTGTAATGCAAAAGATGAACTGAATGCAAGAATTATGGAAGCATTCACCAACTTAAACAAGGAGACTGTCCAGAAGAGATGCAGGAGATTTCAAAGTTGTCTGGAAGCAGTGCCTGAAGCCGATGGCAATTTTATTGAATAAATTTACTCCTTACTATTTCAAGATATTTTTGTGGAATTTTGGTAAATATATTTGTTAAAATGAGATGTCAGTATTATTTTCATTTTTATGTAATTTAGATGACAACTTATCCATCGCACACTGTGTGTGTGTATATATATATATATATATATATATATATATATATATATATTCATTTCCATATTTAAACATATGCAAGTTTTACAGTCATAGCACATTGAAACACCTGTTCTTGTATGATTACTGAAGTTAAGCAATATTGAGCCTGGTCAATAGCTAGATGTGTGAAGTCTTGGGAATACCAGGAGCTGTAAACTTGGATGTGCAAGTGGTTTAAGGGATAATGGCAAAGAATTGGAAATCGGAGAGCTGAGTTCCAATTCCAAATGAATTTGTTATATTCACTTATATGAAAATGCCTTTGGGAAATGCATGAATCCATCTCTTCTCCCCTCCAGTTATGGGTTAATTAGTAGGGCTTATACCTCTAAAAATCATTATCACTGAAGAAATCATTACAACCTAAATTTATTCTGTCTTGGGTATGATGATAAACTACATCCATGTCCTGGGTAAGATGATAACTTACATCTGACAGCAAGGCCTCTGATTGAGAAGTTTGAGGAACATGGAACCACTTCTTAATTGTTGGTGCTTCCCGGTCCATCATGACCTAGGGTGGTAGCACTTATCAGCATTCCAGCTATGGGCAAATAGTTAACCCTGCCAAGGGTGTCAAAACAATATGAAAGTATAAAAATATGTTTTAATACCAGCAATACTTTTTTGAGAAAATTATTACCAGCAATACATTTTTGGAAGAAAATATTACCAGCAATACATATTTGAAAAAAAAAAAACATATTACCAGCAATAAAAAATCTTGTTGGCTTTAAATAAGCTATTGAGGTTGATATACTGTAAAACAAACCAAACCAAACTAAAATTATTTTCTGGTTTTAAATAACCTTCCAAAGGTTGCTAAACTGTAAAAAAAAAAAAAAAAAAAAATCCATCATGTCAAGTCATTTTTAAAAATATGAAAAATTGTGTATATGGCTAAATAAACCAAAAATATTTTATATATATATCCAAAATAGAAGAGATATAGAACTTTACCAGATAAAGCTCTGTATCACTTTGGATTGCATTGCTTCTTTTTTTCTAAATTACTTACTTTTCTTTTTTTTTGTTTCAGATTTTCTGGTCTGGGCGATCAAGCACTGTGTTTTTGCTGAGTTGAGGTAGGTTTTCAAGATTTTTTTTTTTTTTTTTTGCTGCACCAGCTGTTTTGGTCTTGTTTATTCTATATGGTTTTGTGTGAATGAATAAAGTTGGATGAGAATCCAATGGAATGGGAAATATATAAGACAATTTGGAAAAGAATTTTACCTTGACATATTTTGCCAATGATTCAGCAACAGCAGCAGCACCATGAGAAGAATTTTATTTCACAACAACAAAATTTACATTACCAAGATGAAATGTGATTCCTGTTGTCTGAACATTTGATTTTTACTGTTTCCTATGTGCCTTGTCTTTTCAAGATGTGGACGATTGTGATTCTTCCCTACTTCCTGTCCTTTAGAGCTATGTTTGTCTTTTTGTTATCTCTCTTAATCCCTGTTCTGCTAGCTATTTACACAAGCTTGTCAAGTTATTCCCTGCTTTCCTGTCTCTCTTACCTTCATTATTTCCTGTTAGTGTCAAATTCTCCAAGCTCTCTTTCCTCATTATGTGCTCTAGAAGTTTCAGTTGTCTTTTGATTTTAAGTATGTGTCCATTTTTGTTTCCAATTTCCATAAAATGTCATTGTTGCTCCCATATTTATAGAAACTAAATTTTAATTTATTATTTTTTTTATGGTTTACATATGCCACGTTGTTTCTCAGCTAAAAGAAAAGGTGATAAATTTGTCCAATTGCATTTTAATTATGGATAATTTGTAGATCATAGGACTTAAAATTCATTTTCATCTGAGTAAATTATACTTACATTTTATTTATTAAAATTTTCACTGTCAAAATTGTGATCACAAAAGTTCCAGTGCATTGAATGTGTTACTTTTAAGTTCTTTTTCTGCTTATATATTATTTTCTGGATGTTTTACCTGGGTATTTTTAGGGGCATTATTTACATTCTCTTTTGTAGTTTTTTGCTTGTGATGTAAATTTAATTGTTTTATATTGATCAAATTTTTAACAGGTTTTGTTTTGTTTTTTTTAAATTTTTGAAGTGATGGTGATAGTTTTGTTTATATTCCTCTTTTGATTCATGGCTGACAAGGCAGATTTTTCCACAGTAGGTTGCTGTTTCTTTCAGTGATAGATTGGATGCCAACCAAGTCTTTAGGGCCTAGTTTGTCTTGCTATTAAACCCATAGCTGTGTGAGGGAAGAAGAGATGAGTTTTTTTTACTTTTGCCACGAGTATTTATATGCAAGAAAATGAAACAGATCTGAGTGGAATTTGAACTTGGCTCTCAAATTTCTCAATCTGAGCAGGTATTCATTACACCACAATGCACATACCTTTTTATATTAAATTAGCAAACTTTCTTTCAAATTCATTATGAAGTTTATAAATAAGATATTGTGCATAATTTTGTGTCATTCATACTTTGTGTAGGTGGGAGTTGTATGCTTTCAGCATTTGCAGTCCATGCTATCTACGTGAAAATTAAGTTTTAAAATACTTCATTATCCCACTTATTTCATGTCAGTCAGTCAGTTAAGTGCCATATGTGATACATGTTTGGGCAATCATGTCTCTTATGATACATGACTGACGAGGCAGATTTTTTCTTTCTGCTTTAGACTGGTTGCCAACCAAGGCTGAAGAACCCTGTCTGTCCTGCTATTGAACCCATAACTTGGAGAAGAGATGAATTCATACTTTTCCCAAGGGTATTTGTGTGTAAGTGAATATAACAAACTCAACGCACAAATACTCTTGAGAAAAGTTTAAATCCATCTCGACTCCTCCAAGCTATGGGTTAAATAGCAGGATAGACTGGGTTCATTCCATGTACTGTGTCAAATTTTTTTTAAAAAGTACTGTTTGTGTATCACTTCCTCTTAAAGGTAGTTTTAGGATTTGAAAATATTAACTTGTAGAGTTTCTCAGTAGTTCCAATATATGCCATATCACGTCTGTCATAAGCTTTCCAAGTTGCTTAGTATGCATTAAGCGATCGTGTTCCAAAAGACAGATTCCTGCAGTTGCAAGGAGTTCCGTTAGAATCATGTTTGACATCACCAGCTTACAATGTCATGTGCTTCTTCACTAAAACAATAACTGAATATCTTGTGTATTCTGCAGAATTTAGGAAAGTGCTTATTGATTAAACTACAAAAACATTTTTCTAACTTCATCTTGACAACCCTGTTAAACCGGCTTTTTAAAACCAGATTAAATTCCACCCTCTGTTGTTTTCCATTCTTACTTGTAATTCAAAACAGATGGATAGCCACTCTTTTTCAATTCTGCTGCATACTTGATATTTGCTTGTTCAAAATTTGGGAATTGTTGGAGGTTACTGACAGCCTTACACACAGTGATTTGAAAACTTGCTTAAAACAGCAGGTGTGCAATTCAATAAGGTGTCAATAAAACTGAGGTTGTTATCCGGCTCTCTGAAATTATAGTAAAATCCCTGTCAAAATTGAAAGTCATGTAGTGATCTTGTGATCACAAGAACTAAAAAAAAACAAAAACCTAATACCATGATTCCATAGAAAAGAAGAAAACCACCATACTGGCAGGAAATTTAAAGACTTCCTCTTTTTCATCAGTCTCTGACAAAGAGGGCATGTGAAATTGAGCATTTCCAGGAATGAAGATCACAGATAAATCTAACACAAATATCACTTTCTCATATTTAATATTATCTTTTAATGATAGATTTATCACTTGCATATAATTTATTCATTCACAAAGACAAACACAAAATCAGAAACATTTATTAACAACGATATTACATGAACTTTCCTGCATCTATTGAACTAGTAACACCAAAACCTTCTGATAATAATTCCTTCTATATATGTATAAATGTCTCACTTTGTTGTTATGATGTATATATATATATACTATATTTTACTAACCAGAAACAGGAGTCAAACAAGGCCCATCATAACAATAACATGCAATAAATTCAACCCCTTCAAGTTAGTGCCAATTTGAATGTTAAGTCTGTATCTTTCTAGAACTCAACACTATCCTTTCTGATACTGTTATTTTAATATCTGAGGGATGGAGACTATAGTCTCTCCTAGACAAGAACATGAAAGTTGTCCATATTCAGTTTATGTGACTATTCGGTATCAACTAGTACAATATATTGCTTCACATGATGCACTTCCTGGGAACCATATCATCGGTTCTTCAGCATCAAGTGAAAATAATTTTTTATCAAATCACAAATATCAGCACTATGCCAGCTATCTATAGTGACATCAGGACAGTAACACTCACCTTCTTTATCTCTACTTCTCTATGGTACAAGACAGACATTTAGCAGTACTCTATTTTGGTCATTAGTCAATTTGGTACTGCATATACTCGTGTATAAGCTGAATTCATGTACTGCGCGACCCTGAATTTTTGCATGAATTTTAACCCTCAAGAAAAAACTACCTGTGTATAGTGTAACCAGTCACTAAGAACATGATTTTTTTTAACATCTTCAAAAATGTTAACTGTTCGACCCCTGCCCTATTTTTTTGCATAAAAAACTGATCACAAAAACTCACACTATACTCAAGCATATACAGCATATTTTGATGCAAACTAATTAGCAAGACTTTGTTTTCTAAGTGAAAGATTGATGTCCAGTTCTATAAATTCAAAACTTTGCTTATTAGTGATGTCACAGAACCAGTCAATCACAGCCTTAGTAGTTTTCCATTGGTTCAACAGTAAATCTCACACTCATGACCCTACACGTGTTTTCCAGTATAAATTTATTGATCCTCTCAAGCTGATATTTCATAGAATTTAACAGCCGACAAACTGGTTTTCTTAAGAAATTATCTTTATGGTCTTTTAGCTTGATGAATTCATGCAACTTGACTAATCGGTTCACACGGCTGTTGACTTCTAACTTTACAGCAATTTCTTTTGATTCCTCATTAATATGTCGTTCCATGTTGCTCGAGGCCATTTTGTAAGATGTTGTTATTTCCTTGTTCAACAAATATTCGGGTCAATTTTGTGAATTATTTCTTGGCTGACATAACAAGTTTTGTGAAGTCATTCAGTTTGTTACAAATGATTCCGAAGTTTCATTTGCAAGTTATTCTTTGTATGTCTGA